GGGTGTTAAGATGATCGATTCACTGGGGAAAAGACAAAAGACAAATGGTGCTGGGAAAACCAGGCATCCAAATGCGACGGGATGAAGTCAGACCTTCCTCATATCACATGCAAACCCTGGCTCAACAGGTCCAAGACCTGAACACCAGGGGTAAAGCCACAAACTATTAAAGAAGAGAGGACCAAGGTTCCATGGCATTGGGTTTGGCTTGGACTTCTTGGCTCTGACACCCACAACAGTCAACAAAAGAAAACACAATTTGAGTTCATGATTTTTTTTTTTAATGTGCAGAAAAGAAACAATCAACAGAGAAAAAAGTCAGTCCAAGGAATGGAAAAGCCAGGTGCAGTAGCTCAGGAGGCTGAGGCAGGAGGATCACAAGCTCAGGACCAGGCTCAGCAATTTATCGAGGACCTAAGCAACTTAGCGAGTCCGTGTCTCAAAATAAATAAAAAGGGCTGGGAATGTGCTCAGTGGTAGAGTGCTGCTGGGTTCAATCCCCAGTACCAAAAAAAAAAAAAAAAAAAAAGATGGAAAAAAATGTTGCCAATCGTTGTCTGATAGGGAATTAGTGTGCAGAATGCACAGAGAGGATTCCTAAAGCTCAACAAAAGTCAAACAGCATGACTCAAAAATGAGCTAGAACTGAGATAGACAATTCTCAAACAAGAGCATGCATGGCCAGAGAGCACATACAAAGACGCTGGGCATCACTGGTCACAAGGAACACGCCAACTAAAACCGCAGCGGGCCCCCCTCACACCCACAGGATGGCTGCCATTGGGAAACAGCGGTGTGGAGAGGCTGGACCCCACGCCCCGTGGCCAGGTGTGAAGCGCACACCGCTGCCGAGCAGGGCCTGGGGCTCCTCCGTGAGGCCCAGCAGCTCTGATTCTGGGTGGATCCCCAGAAGAACTGAGGGCGGGGACGAGAGGGAATGCCTGCCTGCCCACATTGACAGAGCCTGCAATGTGGAGGGGACACTGCAATGTGGAGGGGACACGCCCGGGTCCATCGGCAGAGGAGGGGAGACAGAAGGTGGCCCAGCCACACTGGGGAAGCCCTTCGGCCCTGAAGAGACAGGCCTCTTTTCCTTCAGGGCACCCTGGAGGGCTGCTGCCCACCCAGGGTCACTGGTAGGTAAAAACAAGCCAGTCTCGCCTCTGCCCAGTGTCCCTGCTGCTGAGGGCAGCGTCTTTCACCCAGGGTGGAAGGAGGGCCCCTGGTGAGCTCCCCTCTGCAGCCCCACAGCGTCTGGTGACCAGGGCATCTCCCCACCCGACCCTGGAGGCTCCCTGTCTGTGCCACAAGCACCTGGTAAGAAGCTGCCGCAGAGACCACCCAGGGCCACTCCACGCTGCCCATGTCCCCACATCAGCAAGACGCCACCCTCACAGGGCTCAGGGCTCCAGCCCCGGGCCCAGTGGCCAAGTCATCCTGCCCACCCATGTCATGTTGCAGGATAAGAAGCACATGGCTGAGGGCCACTCAGGGCCAGGTTCAACTGCCGGCGGCCGGAGGTCCACATCTTAAAGAAGGGGGACTTGACCAAGTTTAATGCAGACCAATGTGAAGACATGGTGACTGAGTGGTGGCTCATCCCCAAGGCTACAGGGTCAAGTGCGCCCCAGTCAGGGTTCCCCAGACACACGGGACCCTGCACTCCTGAGGACTTTTCCTGTGCCCTTGATCACACCCACTGATACATCCTGTATTACGTCCAGGAAGAAAAAAAGATCTGACCCCTGCCACACGGGAGAACTCGAAGGTCTCGCGGTGAGTGAAACAAGCCAGTCACAGAGGGACACGGACCGTGCGAGGCCTCCTACCGGAGGTGCCCAGACCCCCGTTCATGGCGACAGTGGATGCGGTGGCCAGCAGCTGGGCGCAGGGAGGAGGGTCAGTGTGCCGGGGGGCAGGGCTTCAGTCTGGAATGAAGGGTCCTGGAGGGSACAGTGGTGGTGGCCACGCCGTGACGTGCTCACAGCTGCTCAGCGGTGCCCTTGAAGATAGTCGTGCTGGAGAGCTTGAGGCCGCTCGCCTTCCACCACCGTGAAGCAGGAAGCACGGCAGCCAGAGGCCCATGGGAGGGCTTCTGGTGGCCCCTTCCCGCCAGGCCTGCCCTCTGTGCTCTCCACGTTGCAGACCTGCTGCAGTAACCCATCCCACCGTGGTCCCAGTAAAGCAAGGACACTGGCTGGACCCCGCGGTGCTAGGATCTCCCCGTCCTAGCTGCTGTGGACAGAGCTGGCTCAGCCCTGCAGGAGAGTGAGCTGTCGGGCACACTGGGGGCCCCTCGCTGTCCTGGGCCTAGTGTCTGCCCTGAGGCTCCAGGTGCTCCCTGGCCCCTGAGCCTGGAGCAAACAGAACTGGGGGCCATTTCCCACTTTCTGGGGACAGAGCCTCGGGGGGCTGCTGTGATGGTTCCCTGAGACCCTCTCAAACTGGTCGGCAGGGCACCCGAGGGCAGATGGCACTGCATAACAGCTTCATCGTCACAGATCAGAAGGAACGTCACCTTCATAGGGTGGTACACCACCAACAGGACCAGGTGCTGGGCCCAGCCATGCCCCTTCTGACGACTCCTTCCTGCCCTCGCACAGCCTGTTGCCCCCAGCGTGGACACCTCACAGGGTCAAGCTGACTGCAGCTACCTGCCCTGGGCAGAAGGTGACGATGTGCCTGGTGCTCAGAACCCTCCTGGCCCCAGCAGAGGGACACACTGTGACCTGGGAGGAGGTCTGTCCTGTGCCATCTGGAGGCTCCCCAGCTGCCCGTTGGCCTCAGGCTCTGCTGAACTGTGAGCCTTCGCCCTGGCTCAGGTCCCCAACGTGCCACAGCACCACCTCTCCAGGGTCCCACCAGCCCACGGCTGCCAGGCCACGGCCACATCCTCATCTTTTGAGCTTCACGGCCCAGCGTTCCCGTGTCCAGGGCCATCAGGACCTGGGTCTCCAAGTGTGGTGGAGGCTCCAGGTCTCGGCTCCATCCTGTGACCTTGGGCAAGGCCTTGGCCCTGCACCATCTGCCTGCCCCTCCCCATCCCCACGCCGTGCCCGTTAAGGCCAGGTACTGCCCAGTCTGGAAAGGCTAGCCAAGTGCCAGCAAGCCCCTTGGGGCAGCCAGTGCCAGGCTGGAGTGCCCGGGAGGGGTGGAGGACAGCTGCAGTCGCGAGATGTAAACAAGCCGGGCGCTCCCAGGTATAAAGCCTGACGCCCCCCTGGTCCTCTAACCCACAGCCTGACTGCCTCCCAAGAGCCCCGAGGAAAGCCAGGCGGTAAGCTGTCCGGGCTGGGAAGCTCGGGGCGCTAGGCCCGACTAGAGTTGCCCAAGCCGGACAGCAGGAGCTTGGGGCCTGGTCTTTATACACAGGACAAAGAGGTGCCCTGGGATCTGGAAGGAACTTAGCAAAGTCCAGGGGAGACAGGGAAAGGAGGAGGAGGGAGAGGGGCAGCTCTTCTGCCAGCAGCCCCCACTGGCCCCAAGGGAGTTCTGCTCCAAAGGCAGCCAGGTGGGCCTGGGTCCGCACACGCGCCCACGGGGGGCGGCCCGGGTCTGCCCGTGTGCCCACGGGGGGTGGGGGTGGGGAGGCCCAGGTCTGCACGTGTGCCCACAGGGGGCAGCCCGGGTCCGCACGTGTGCCCACAGGGGGTGGCCGTGAGCCAGGACTGCACAGGGGCTGACGGCCACCACCCTTGGGCCCTGGGGTGCACAGGGCAGTAGCTCCAGGGCCTCCTGACCCAGCAGCCCTGAGCTGGCTCTGGCCCCTCACCTAGCCCCATCCATGGATCCCCTGTGCCCATTATCTCCTGGCCACCAGTGAGTCCTCTCCCCGTAGCGTCTGAACCTGGAAGTCCTTGGCAGAGGTTGGGTGCTGGGGCAGCCCCCGCTCCCAGGGAAGGCCATGTGAGTGGTGTGGAGGGGTTGGGCACAAAGGTGTCCARCTGATGGCAGGACTGGGGACACGGCCACTGGCAGGCCTCAGAGCTCAGTCAGCTCTGGTGGTGGAGGCCGGGAGATCGGAGGGGAAAGGAGGCCTGAGCAGGGAGGAAAGAGGAAGGACTCTCCAGGCGCTGAGGGGAGCGCGGGACTGTTCGCCTGGGCCGTGCAGCCCCATCAGGCTGGACATCGGGGCCTTTCTCTGGGGACTGGTCAACTCCCCCCCCAGGTCTGGACGCAGGAGCTATAAATAAACAGGAGCCCAAGGCCCTGCCTCCCTGGCCCCGGCCCCGGCCCCAGCATGCTGGTGGGGACCCTGACAGTAGCCAGGTGGGAAGGGGGCTGGTGATGAGCACAGGCTCTGGACAGGAGGTCGCCGTCTGGCTGGGCCGGGCTGGGCCTAGAATTTGGCTGGGCCCCTTCCTGATGGAAGCAGGTGGCAGGTCCCCCAGCAGGACCCCAAGTGGGCAGACGGTTTTCTCCTCTTCCAGAACGGACCCTGAGATGCCCGGGGAGGGGAGTCAGGGACCAGGTCAGGTCCCGGGGTGGTAGGGCCTCTGCTCTGCTGCAGGAGTTAGCCACTGAGGTGACGATGGGGGATGCGGCTCTAAGCCCATCAAACGTGCAAAAGCCCAGGCCCCACCATCCCCTTCCCTCCTGCTAGAAGACAGGGGCTGCCCCAGGGGAGCCACCCCAGGCAGGAAGCAGGATCCAGTCTTGGGGCTGCATCCAGTGCTCCCCACGTCCAGGCCCCAGGGTGGGGCTGCAACCTTTGACCTCTCAGGAGGAGAGAAGAGAGGCCTCTAGCCACTGCCCAGCCCCTGGCAGGGCCATGAGTGCCCACTGCCCCTCCTGGTGGGGCCAGGTATTCTAGATGTCTCCATCACCCTGTGAACTTTCTGCAGGGCTCAGAGGCCTTGGACACCTGCTAGCCTGCAGCCCTGGACTCTGAAATAGCTGTTCCCACTCATATCCTGGAACCCAACACCCCCCAGGGAAAGAACCTGAGAGCCCACAGGTCACGAGGCTCTGCCATGAGGGCACAGGCTGCCCAGCTGCCCCGTGAAGGGTGGACAGTGATGCCTGCACCTCCTGGGCCACCCAGGCTCAGGGGCTGCCCCCGAGAGCAGGTGCCTTTCTCGGTGGGGAAACTGAGGCCTGGAAACCCCTCCACCAGCTGCCCCTCTTCCCAGCCTGGGGCCGCCCCACATGTCAAAGTTGTGACGTTTGCTGCCCAGGTGGGCGGGGAGTGCACACCTGGGCAGGGACGTACCAAGAGGCTGTTCTCTGCCCACCCCAGGACAGGATGGACGAGGACTTCTCCTCCCAGATGAAGAAGATGGCCCTGGCCATGGGCACATCCCTATCAGACAAGGACATAGAGCTTCTGCCCTCAGACATGAGGCACCACGGTACAGCCAGCTCTGGGGGCCCGGCCCCAGCCTGGGAAGGGGGAATGGGACATGGCTGCCCCTGTCCCTGGGCCCAGGTCTAGCAGGGGACATCTGATTTGTGTCCCTGGGGCTGATGGGCTCAGGACCATGACCTTGGTGGGCAGGGAGGAAAAGAAGTGGACCCGGATGACCCCATCTCTGGGTCCACTGACCTGCCCAGCCCTGTGCACAGCTGGCCCTTCTGATGCCAGCCCGGTTGGCTCCAGGGTCCTTCAACTACCTCAAGTTCTTTGAGTACATGCGCAAGTTCCAGGCCTCGGGACAGTTGGAGAGCGCCATCCGCAAGGCCTTCCAGACCCTGGACAAGGACAAGAGCGGCTTCATTGAGTGGAACGAGATCAAGTAACGGCAGGGGCTGGGCAGGGTGCTGGTGTCCCTGGCCAGCCACAGCCGGTGCCCCCATGCACCCAGCAGACTTGACATGCCCCCTGGAGCCCCACTGGCCGGGGCCACAGTGTCAGTGCTGGACCCAAACCAGAGGGTGGGGGACTCTGGGCCTGAGGCATCCGTCCAGGGCCTTGGTTTCCCCACCTGTGAAGTGGGTCGAGCAGCTGCGAAGGTCAGGCCCTCCTGGCCCTGACCTGAGCCCCCTTTGGCCCAGGTACATCCTGACCACCATCCCCAGTAACATGCCCACTGCCCCCCTGACGGATGAGGAGGCCGAGGCCATGATCCAGGCAGCCGACACCGATGGGGATGGAAGGATCGACTACGAAGGTGGGAGCAGCCAGACGGGGCCCCAGGGACTCCTCCAGTGCCCCACCCCATGTGACCACCTGGCCCCACAGTAATGGCCCTTGCCAGTGCTGGACACGCACTATCCAGGCATAGCATTGAGTGGCCACCCCACCCCAGATCTCTCAGCACCCCAACTCAACGTGGGGAACCAGTCTGGGGGTTGCTGAGTGGGTGGGTGTCTCACTGAGCAGAGCCGGGTGCCGGGTGGGCTGGGGAAGGCTGGCTGGGCAGAGACAGTATGGGTGGGGCTGTGCCCAGGGAAGCGGCAGGGCTCAGGCTGCCTGTGGCTCTGGCTGCCCTACACTTCTGGCCGCCACTCGCTGTCATGATACTGGGGCAGAGGGCAGGCAAAGTGGCCACCAGGAAAGAGCCAACCGGCCCAGCGCCCCAGACACCACTGTCCAGGTGTGCGCCCATCCCTACCCACCTGTGCCACATCACAGCCCTCAGTGCCGGGGGAGGCCCCAGGCATAAAACAGGATGGCTGGCCAAGGGGCTGGGCAGGACTCAGGCCCCCAGCCTCAGTTTCCCCACTGAGAAAGGCAGGTTGATCACAGGGCACCTGCTCAGAAGGGTCTCAGCAGACCCAGGTCATTTGAGCTCAGGGAGGGTCCACTCACTGGTCTTTCAGCTCAYACCAGGGCTCAGGCAGGCTGGGACGTCAGATCCTCCAGACTGTGGGCCCTCAGAAAGGGGCACGCCTCACCACTGCTGAGCCATCAGAGGGCCAGCAGCCTGCCCCTCAGGGGCCAGCRGCCTAGGCTGTCAGAAAGCAGACGTGTTTACTAGGTATGGGTTTCCTGCCCTAGAATTTTCTGAATTAATCAAGAAGGAGAAGACTCCAAAGAAGAAGTAATGCCATGACCAGCCCTGGACCAGCCAGAGGTCCCTGTAGGGCTGTGTGGGGTGAGCATGGGCCCTAGTGGACATTCACGGAGGAGACCGAGGGTGGACACAGCCTGTTCCAGGAAAGTGGAGGAAACAGAGCTCTAAACAAATGCGGTGCCGCTGCCCGTGTGTCTGTGAACGCCTGCCTGCGCCTGGGGGCTGGTGGGGAATGGGCAGATGGGCGGGCAGGGGTCCAGGCCTCCCTTCCCCTGGTCTCACCTCACTGGAGGCACTGGGAGGGAGGTCCCCCCCAGCCCTGGGCTGCCTGGGTCTGCCCTCTCTCTTAGCCTGGTGCTTCTTGGACCCAGAACCCTGAAGGGCCCCTTCCTGTGGGCCCTGGGTCTGTCCTGTGGCCACCTGGCCCCACACCCCCAGCTGACACAGCAGATGTGTGGACATGTGTGGGGATTCCTGCCGCCCAGGGCGAGTGAGGCCCAGAGTGCTCTGCAGGTGTCCTTGGCTGCCCCCAGGCCAGAGCGCACAGGTGGTCGCCTCTCCTGGCCTGGCTCGCCGTTGGGCTGGCTCTCCCTCTCACTCCTTGTGCTCAATCCTCCACGACTCCAGCTCTCCCAAGCTCTCTGGTGGGACACGGGCCCGCCTTGGACTTTGCCCTGCCCCCGCTGGCCCACCCTCTTTCAGTGTGAGCACCATGTCTATGCTGTCCCTGGCCCCCTCCTGGCCTGTCATCCGGTGTGGAGAGTGAGCACCAGGAGCGTGGCTGACCTCAGTGCACTCATGGGAGCAGGTGGCCTCGTCCAGTGCCCCACCAGGAACATCCTGTCCCCGGGCCTTTCCACGGCTGCTCCCCCAGCCTGGCATGCTCCTCAGCTGCATGACAAACTCCCTCTTCTCCTTCAGTGTTTTCCTCAAAGGTCACGACCCAGAGAGGTCCCTACCCACCGTTCTGCCTTTCACTTACCCCCGAATCTCACGCTCCCCTTGACTCAGTCTTCCCCACAGCACCTCCCATCCTCCAATACACTGTGACCTTCACATGTGTGTCATGTTTTCCTTTATGAGCAAACAAAGCATCAGAGACACGGGTATGAGATCCCAGAGAGCGCCCAGGAGGTGAGCGTGAGGGGCACAGGTCCCCTGGCAGGCACGGTCCAGCCAGTGACACTGCTTAAGGGCTGAGCAGCCTCCTGGGTGTTCAGGATCTACCAGGGAGGAGGTGCCCACATTGCAGCTCCAGCGGGGTCCCCAAGAGGAGCCAGGACAGAGAGAACCCAGCCGGCCCCACAGACCTGGTCCCTTGGCCCCCTCCTCCCCACCTGCCCACCAGAGCAAAAGTGGGTCAGCAACTCACAGCCAGACCTGGTGTGCTTATCGCCTGGGACTGGCCTTAACTATAAGGCCACAGGAAGGTTGGAAGGAAAAAGGGGGCAAAGAGACACCACGCTCTGCTGGGGCAGAGCGCTTGTCTGGCACGTGGGAGGCACCGGATTCAATCCTCAGCACCACACAAAAATAAATAAAACAAAGGTATAAAAGTATTTTTTAAAAATTTAAAAAGAGAGACACATGCAGGTACCAAGGAGAGAAAGCTTTACTATCAGATGAAGGAGACTTTAAGGCAAGAAGCACTTCTAGGGTCAAAGAGGAAGGACTCATGATAAAGGGCCAATCTCAGGGAATCACCATGGTTCTGAACGTACAGCCTCCAAATGCACAACGGAAAAAATGAACACACCAGAATGAGACAGAGTTGATGCACAAATATGGTGAGAGACCTTAGCACTCAACCCCAGGGACCGAGAGACCGAGTGCCAAAGGAGGCTCGGGAAATACGACGGGCTGGCTCTTGGATGCAGCCAGTTCTCTGCAGCCCCCTGATGCAGAATGCACATTCTTCTTTAAATTACAGATGTGACATCTGCCAAAGTGGACCAACAGCCAGGCCTTAAAGCGTATCTCAACCAAGTGAAAGGACTGGAATAACACAGGACAGGTCCTCTGGGAAGATGAGTTAGAAATCAGAAACAAAAGCTAAAGAAAAACAACACAGTTCTAAACAGCCTGTGACTCAAAGAAACCACCACAGAAATAAGAAAATCAAACCTAACATTAACAAAAATACAACATACCAAACCTGGTGGGTACAGCTCAAGTTGTAATCTGAGGGAAATTCATAGTCTTAAATGCACTGATTTGAAAAAAAAAGGGGGCTGGCAATCAATGATCTAAGTATCCTCCCCAAGAACTTAGAAAAAACAACAGAAAATTAAAGYCAAAGAAAAGAGAGGGAAGAAAATAAAGGGCAGGAATTCTGAAATGGTAAGTCCCTTGCTTTCTGCCCATTACCCCCGCTAGCCTGTGGGCCCCGGAAGGCACGGTGTCTGCTCGGGTCTGCACCGCAAGGTCTAAGTCGGGCAGAGAGATGGCTGCTGATGGTGTGGCCTCTCTCAGAAGGAATGTGGCTCAGACGCAGGCTCTGTGGGGAATATGAAACCCACGGGGGCAGCCAGGTGGGCAGGGGGACTCCCTAGGCAGAGTCCACTTGAGGCTCTAAAACCTGGCCTCCTCGGGTTGGGGACACAGCTCGGCTGATGGAGTGCCTGCCTCACATGCACAAGGCCCTGGGTCCAATCCCAGCACCAAAGATAAAATAGAGAACCTCTAAAACCTGACCTCCTGCTGTGGGAGCTCTCCTCCTCACCCAGGGACCAGACCTGACCCCACCCACTCTACAGTCAGGCACCCCACCACTTTAGGGACCCCCCATGGTCAGACCCTCCCTTCCCACAGGAGCTCCACAGGATTACGTCCTGCTGGGTGACATCCTGCTGCCCCTGCCCTGACCTCTGGTCCACAACCTGCAGGAGGAGGAGGTGGAAGGCCCAGGCAGGAGGCTGAGGACTAACAGATGCCCCCAGAGCACAGCTGCCCCTGAGACCCCAGGAAACTTCCTGTGGAACTCCCGAGTGCTACAGGCTGCTGAGGGACCCAAGGGCTACGGACTCCCCTCTGAGCCCTGTCCACCCTCACTCTCCAGGAGTCAGGCCTTCCTGACCACATGCACTCTCTCCCAAATTCATATCTGCCTCCAGTTGTGTCCTGGTCAGGGGCATTTCCCCAGCCTCACCCAAAGGCTGGGGCTTCTCCTTCTGGTCAGCAGCCCTGTCCTGCAGACGGTGAGCAGAGAGGCCCAGCAGCCTTCACCCTCTGCCATGTAGGGGAGCCATCGACAGCCTCCTGGTCTAGCCTGAGACCAGGGACCAGTTGAGTTCTTCTCTGGGAGGGGGCTAGACAAGGAGCAGACATGGCTTAGGTCCAGCAGTGAACAGCATGGTGACTCGGGTGCAAGGTGGTACAGGGCAGGCTGACATCCTGYTGCCCCTGCCCTGACCTCTGGTCCACAACCTGCAGTAGGAGGAGGTCGGGCCCTCATGGGGGGAGACCCTCAGAGCCGTCCCAGACACAGCAGCAGAACCACATGCACAGGAAGCCTCCTGGGGTCTGCACACCACCTGCAGGCGAGGAGAGAGGCCCGGGGTGATGGCCCCCTGGGGCTGCTGGGCAGCATCCCAACACGGAAGCCTGATCCAGGACAACACGCCTGCTGAGCAGACCCTTATCTCCCTGCAAGTGCTCCAGGACTCTCCTGTCCACGAGGGCTGCAGCCTCCACCTGTCTGTGCCAACAACCCTCAAGGTGAAGGGCACTAGCAGATTCTGAGCTAAAGTGCCAAGTGCAGAGGCTGCAGAGGGAGGGTCTGGCAGTGCCCGCCCTCCTCGGGGTGCCTGTCCAGTCCCCGTTTCCAGAGGGCTCCCGGCAGTCATGCCTCAGTAGGGGGCAGTCTCCTAGGAGGGCCACCTGCGCCCCTGGAGTCTTTCCAGTCATGGGGACACAACAGCAGCCCAGGGGCTTCAGGCACCCACAGACTGCGTGGAGCCTCCTAAGGGCCAGGCGGGGACAGAGGGCCATTCTCCAAGTTGGGCACTGGAGCTGAGTCTCAGGGCCACAGGGCAAGGCAGAGAACAGATGGGGGCGGCAGGGGCGTTGAGAGCAGAAGGGCTGCTAGCCACCTGCCATTTCCTGGTCCGTCTGAACAGCCCAGAGGAGGGAGATGGGGAGGCAGGAGAGGGCTGGAGCCAGGCCTGAACTCTGGGGTGTCCCCCAGCCCAGGAGAGAAACATCAGGCAAGGGACACAGGACTCTAAAAAAACCACCTCTTTTACTGTTAAAAACACAGCCACAGACTGGGTGTGCTGAGCACGGGGCTCACGAGCAGGGCAGCAGGCCGCACCTTGGCAGCATGCGCCCCAGGGCCCGGCACGGCAGAGGGACTCCTTATTGCATCCCTCCTGTCTCCGGCCTGCCTCCGGCCTGCAGGTGGCATCACTTGGCACTCAGGGGCGGCCGCCTGTGCTGCTCCAGCAGCTCCTCCAGATGATCAGCCCGCTTCATGGCAGCCTGTGACGGGCACCAGAGTCAGGCGTGGGCTGCCCCAACCTCAGGCAGGAAGGGCAAAGGGACCCTGGGACCCACCTCATGCTGTCTCCGGAGGCTGCTCACGGCCTTCTCCTTCCTGGCGAGGGCTGTCTTCACCCTGCAGAGGCACACAGTGGGATTCTGCACAGCCCCCCTCGGCCAGCCTGTCGGGGCAGCCAGCCTGCCCAGCCCACTGGCCACAGCTCCCAGGCTGGCCTGGGCCCAGAGAAGCTGCCTTCACGGGGGTCGGAACCCAGAGAGCGTGCCTGGAGCAGCCCGGGCCGGGGGTCTGTGCCAGGACAGGCGTGAACTTCTCATACCCACCCCTCAGGGCCACGGCAAGTGTGGGCAGGTGGCAGGAGGACCATGAGGTCCCTGGGGGCTCACTGTTGCCCCTGCAGCTTTCCCTCTCTGTGCATCAGCTGCCCCACCCAGGCCTCCAGCCCTCAGCAGGCCCTGGGGTGCCCCCTGGAGAAGCACACTCTGAGCCCCAGCTTGAGGCAACCTGCTCAGGTGCTCCTGGTGAGGCCAGGCACCAGATGCCCCAGGACTCAGTGCCACTGGGGTACTGGTCCAGGCTTCCTGGACTCGGACCTGGACCACGTGCCAGCCCCTGCCCACAAGCGGCCTGCACCCTGGAGGCCTTCACCTTGCTCACCCTCCTCATCTGTGGTGCCCTCTGCCGTGGTGCTGGGGGGGTGCTGCATGCTGCCCTGCCCTCTGCCTCCAGCCCCTGCAACCTGGCTACCCACCTCTGGTGCACCTCATCCAGTTCCAGCTGCTGGCGGGCCTGCAGCTCAGCCAGCTCAGCCTTGACCCGCTGGTTCTCCTCCTCAGAGGCCGCCAGCCGGTCAGCAAACTCCTGGCGGACCACCTCGACCAGGCTGCCTCGCTCCCTGGACAGCTCTGAGTTGACCTGGAGGCAGGGAAGGTGGTGAACAGGGCTCCCACAGTGGT